GCTGGAAGATCGCGCCATGGACCTTGTCGGGGCAACGAATCAACTCGGCCACCCCCTGGGAGCACCCCGTCTTGACCTGCAGCCGCTTGAACAGCTCATTGTAGGCCTTCGCCGGCCAAAAGGGGGGGGCCCTCCGCTGTCGTGCTCTGCCTCCCCCTACTGCCCCCCCCCCCCCCCTCGCTACCTACCTCGCCCTCCGAATTACTTCCACCATAAAATTGTGCGGTCGCCCCCCCCCCCCCCCCAGCCTCGTCGTCGCCTGCCCCCCCGACGCCCCGCCCCCCGAGTGAAGTCGGGTTAGGGGATGCGCGTGGGCGGGGCGGGGGTGGGGGGGCATGGGGAAGCGGGGGGGCAGGGAGGAGGGCCCCCTGGCGCGAAAGCGCGCCTCCACGTTGTTGCGAAGGCCGGATGCCGTTGGCAGCGCCTCCACGTCGCTCGGCTGCAGGAACTCAGCTAGGCCGACGGGCGGCTGGGGCGGCAGCGGCTTCAAGGGGCAGTCGGCGCCCAAACCAGCCTCTTCGTTCGTGGACTTCGCCGCCGCCAAGACCGACCTGCGAACGCCCGCGATGAAGACCCGCCCCCCGCGGCAGGGGGCGCAGTCGGCGTGGGCGCCCACCGCGCGCCAGTGCACCTCGAACTCCTCGCTGGGATAGCGAGCGAGAGCGGCGACCGAGACAGGCGAGGAGAACGCGCAGGGCAGCAGGGGGGCCAAGGGAGGGCAGCAACGAAGATAAGGTGGAGCAGGGCCCGCGGGATCTGCAGGCCACCGTGGGCGACGTCAACGCGCGCCCTTCCATCGGCGCAGAACGCTCTCAGGCGGGGCCCACTGATTCCCTTCGGCCCGGCAAGCTCTCCGCGAGCCATGGCGGCAGCTCAGCGCTCAAGAAGGGCGGGCCGCCTTTGTGGCGCCTGGAGATCCCCGCCGAGTTCTCCGGGCAGAACCGCAGAAGCCCCTTTGACGCCTGCCACCGCAGGAGCTCTTTCATCTTGCCATAAACCTGGGCCGAGGGCCCCCAAGAGAATGGGCGCAGCGAAGGCGGGGGACTGGAGGGGCAAGGAGAGGGGAGGGGGGGGGGGGGGGGGGGGAGGGGGGGGGGGAGGAGGGGTGGAGGAGGAGGAGAGGAAGAGAGAGAAGAGGTGGAGAAGGAAAGGGAAGGAGGAAACGGAAGAGGAGAAAGGGGGAAGGTGGAAAAAAGGAGGGGAGGATGGGGGAAGGAGGAGGAGGAGGAGGAGGAGGAGGAGGGGGAGGAGGAGGAGGGAGGGGGGAGGAGGGGAAGGCGGGGAGGGCTCGCCCCCCCCCCCCACCCCCCCCATCTATCAAGCACAGGCGACGCCAAAGCAGAGCAGCGCCTCCCCTTCCTTCTCCTCCTGCTCCTCCTCCCTCCTCCTCTCCCCAGCGCATGTTGGACGAGCCCATTCCCGTCGACGTGGGAGGGGTCATCACACTCGAGGGTGGCATCTTTGGGTCTCTCGTCGAGGCCGCCAGGGTCTGAATCAGGGAACTCCTCGCGCAAGGAATAGAATAAGTGATTGGTGGTCCTAGGGAACAGCTCGCATTACGTCGGGCGCCACCTCCAAAGTGCTCCAACAAGTGACGCGGCTGAGGCTGAGGTTCCTTGGGATGGTGGCGACGTGGCGACCAGGGGGAAGACGTCGGTGCATTGCGAGCTGCGCCAATGCCGATTAGCGCAATGCAAGAACGAAACATATACGCCCATGGCTGCATCAGCCAGGAGAAGGGCGCACTGCGCTCGAGGCACTTGCGCCTCGAAGACTGGATCACGATCCTCCTCGGCACCCCCCGGGGACCCCACCATCTTGGGGGAAAAAACAGCTGTCGCAAGCGCGTGGGCGATGCGACTCGCCCTCGATCCTCGATTCTCTACGTCATCGCATTGGCATCGACGTCTCCTCGCGCATCGTGCCGCGCCTCGCCCTCGCCCAACTCACCCTCGCCCCGCTGCCCGAGTATTCGCCCTCGCCCGCCCTGTCATCCCCCACCTCGCCCTCCTCGCCATCCACCTTGCCTCCTACTCAGTGCAACCATTTGCAGTGCGCATCCTTGTCCGCCCCCTCCCCCCTCGCCCGCTCAGGACTGGGCAGTCACTCACAGGCCCCCTAGTAAGGGGACCCCCGAAGGTCTTGATTGACAACCTTTCCCCCATGGCAGGCATTGCACCTTGGCCCCCTCGTCTGCCAAGCCAGCTCTCTTGCCCAGGAAGCTCCAGGGCGGGCGCGGGAAACCGCGCGCGAACCCCTCGCTGGGGAGGGACGGAGCGGGGCCCTCCACCATGTTGTCCTTGACGGCGAAGCGCAGGATGTCGCCGACGCCCCCGCAGCAGGCGGGGGGGCGGGGGCAGGCGCGCGACCCCTGCCAGGACGACGCCAGGGAAGGAGCGGGAGGATAAACTTGAGAACGGAGGTGGACCAGGGCAACGACGCGGAAGAGAACGAGGCTGAGGACGAGGAGGAGGGCGAGGAGGGCGAGGGGACGACGACGAGGAGGAGGCGGGGGGGAGGAACAGGGGGAAGAGGAGGAGGAGGAGGAGAGCGCGGAGGGGGGATGGAGGAGGCACGATGAGTAGAAGGGCGATGAATGCGAAGAAGCCCGCCTCCCCCGTCACTCCTTTCCTCCCGCCTCCATCCTTCGTCCTGGACTCCACGCTCTGGCGTTTCTCAATCGAGTTGCGACGTCCGTTGACGGCGGTGACAGCCTGCATGGCCACTCTCGCGCCGCAGGCCCTTCGACTCGATATGCCAGCTGCCGAACAGCAAAGAAAGCGATGGGTCAGCACGCATGGCCGCCAAGCGCAGCGTGGCAGTGAGCTACCCGACCCCAACCATATCGCGCAATTACGGCCTAGCAGCCGCGTCGCGAAGACTGGCGATCGATGAATCCACGGCGCATGGCTTACCACAGCATTGCATAGCCCTACAAGGAATCAAGGCAGGAATGATAAGGGATAGGTGGAGAGGGAGGGGCAGCAAAACAGCAGCAGCAGCAGCGCGGGCACGGGCAGGAGGAGGAGCATAGGGGAGGAGAAAAGGCAGGGGCGAGGAGGAGTCCCACGGCCTTCCCTCAGCTATTGCGTCTTACCTTCCGACCTCCAACCCTTCGCGCGCCTCCCCCCCCCCCCCCCCCCCCCCAGCGAGTCGGAAGGGGGAGGGGGGGGGGGGGGGGGGGGGGGGGGGGGGGGGGGGGGTGGCGAAGATGGGTGAGTGGGGACATGGGTCGTTGGCGTGGCAACTGTTTTACCAGGACAGCTGCGGCATTGGCAACTCGCCACCAGTCCGCATCGCCATCCGTCTCGGGATGCTCGGTGGCGAGCCCTCCCCAGGGCGGTCATACAATGACAGGAATATGCCTTTGGTCCTTGGCCCTCCTGGCCCCCCGCTCGCGATCTCACGATGGTTGGCTTTCAGTTTCCCCAGAAGGTTCCCATGTGAATGGGGGCCTGGGTGGGGGACTAGGAGCATGGCGCCAGCGCCGCCGAGCCAGCTCGGACCGAGACAGGAGGCAGCGCTTCCCTCGAACTTGCCCCGACAACAGGAGCAGCACAGATTAGCGCGGCTGCTGGGCGTGCACCCAGCGGCAGGAGTTGGGACGACTGGCCAGCGAGATGGAGAAGGAGAGAGAGAGAGAGAGAGAGAGAGAGAGAGAGAGAGAGAGAGAGAGAGAGAGAGAGAAAAAAAAAAACAAGAGAAACAGGGAGAGTATTACACCTAGAGCAAGCCTGTGCACGTGAAAGAGAAGGAGAAGGAGATAGAGACCGACAGACAGGCAATACTATATACATATAGCCCAGAATGACAGATCGGTAGAAGGACGGAGACGGCGAGATGAGACGAGAGCGGAGGAGAAGAGAGGATAGGAAGAGAGTAGCCCTGCATGATGAGCGAGGAGGGCCAAGAGTAAGACGAGTTGAGGAGCGAGGACCACTAGCACTGCTCGGTGAGAGAAATTTGACAGTGGAGGGGCCGTGGGAAGAGCGCAGAGGCTCGCCAGCGGTGGAGTGGTGGAGAGGAATAAGGATGGAGTGAGTGGCGAAGCTCTTGAACATAGAATGGAGAGGGGTGGATGAGAAGGAGTAGGTTGTCATGGGGCGCAGTGCGGGGGGGGGGGGGGGGGGGGTTGGTGCCCAGTGAGAGAAGGAGTTGAGCGGAGAGGGCGTGGAGTGACAGACGGATGATGTGAGGCATGGAGAAAGGGGAGGGGTGAATAAGCCAGCTACGCCGAGCAGAAGACCTCTCGGCAAGCTGGCTGCCACGCGCAGCCAGAGAGGGCGAGCAGGCGCGCGATCGCGCCACGCAGGTAGTGCCTGGCACTACCGCCGGCAGCCGCTGGGCCGGCGAGCCGCTGATGCTGGCGGGCTCCATGCAGCGCTGTTGGTGCCCTTCTCCTGGGCAGCGAGGTCGCTGAGCTTCTCCCACCACTGCTCGTACACTGTGCCACGGACAGCCTGGTGCGCCTCCATCACCGCAGCGACCGACATGTGCGTGACACTGAGCTCTGAGGGCCACCCTCCTGAGAAGCCCCAGCGAAGGCCCTGCGACATCTGCGCGCGATGGGCGAGGTAGATGTAGCCGCACGGCAGCACCGCCATCTGGCCCCCCCTGATCACCAGGGCGAAGTTGCCAGCCCCCTTGGCGAGGGCAAGCAGGTGGGCCCCAGACTGTGCTTTCAGGAACTGCACGGCCTCACCCACGCTGTACTCATTCTTCGCCTGCACTCCTACCACCACCTCCTCGCCCTCGGTGAGCAAACGAACACCATTTACACCATAGGCTGGCGGTCCCGCCTGGCAGTAGCCCTGGTGAATGACGAAGCACTGAACCCCGTAGACCGCCTTGTGCAACGTCTGATCCTTCGGCGAGACGGGCACGTAGGGGTGCCTGAAGAGAAGCTGGGACTTGGCCTCATCCTTCAACATCGACCTTAATACCCCAAGTACAGTGGATCGTGTAAAAGCTCCGTACGCGGGTGAGGCACCATCGCCCCCTCAGGATTGCATCTTGTCTTTCATCCACTTGAATAAAATCTCGAAGCCAGAATCGGCCATCAACTTCTTGCTGAACTCGGAAACATCGAGAAGGATGGGCTTCCCCAGTTCAAGCTCGGCCAACGACGCCTCTACGCCAAAGGGCATCCTGGATGGTGGCCTTGACAATGTTGAGCGCCGGGCGGTAGTCCTGCGAAGACTCTCCGATGTCAACGGCGACGGTATTCTCAGCCTTCCTCTTCTTATTGCCACCGCTGGCGGCTTTCGCCAAGAGCTGGCGGGCCTCCATCAACATCTTTCTCGTCAAGCTCTGGTGCGAGGTCGGAGGCCGCTGCTCGGCGGCGATGGATTTCAGCTCCTCTTTCACGTTGTTGATGGACTGGCCCCAACCTCCATCCTCGATCGCCTTGGACAACGCAGCGCACTTATCCTTGATCTTCGCAGACTCCACTGCTCCAGCATCGGCGAGGCTGTCTAGCTTCAACTTGAAAAGCTTCCACGGCTCGTCCTCCATGTCTTTCTTCGACAGCTTACTTTGCATGTGCTCGAGCACGCTGACCCCCTCGGCGATCTGCAAGTCCAGGGCGCCAGTCAAGGCGCCCAGCGTCCGCTCCACCACCTTCTGGGCGCCGAGGCGAAGCGTGACTGGGTTCACCCTGGAAGCTTCGCATCCCTGGCCAGCTGCTTCGCCTCTAGGTCTTCCATCATCTCCACGCGGGCACTTGCCTTCGCCTCGACAGCCACCTCGACCTGGGAGTCGAGGAACTCGCCCAGAGATCCACTCAACTGGAGGTCGCAAGACACATGGGAGTTCCTCTGGGACAGCGACATGATCAGCTGGATCGCCACTCGGATTTGCGCTCCTCGCCTGCGCCTCGAACGAACCCAGGGAGCTGCTGACGCTCTGCGTCATGGCCTGGAGCGCTGCTTCGAGCTCGTTGGCCGACAAAGCCATCTCGACGTTGGCCTTCTCCGCGCTGGCCTCCGTGCTCTTGGCCAACACGGTGCCCTCGAACAGCCCCTGGTACTCTGCGATGAGGAAGCCGCCTTTCTGGCGGGGGTCGGGTTCCACCGCGTACTGTCTGCTCATCGCCCGCCTGCGGAACTCGATGACCTGCTCCTTGCGGTCCTGGATCCCCTCCTGGAACAGGTCCCTCCTCACCAGTGACCAAGGCTTCCAGCGAGTGCGCTCGCGGTCCTCGGCGCTGGCCTTCGCGTGCGTCTCGGTGACCAGCTTGAGCATCTCACGGCTGTC